ACAAAGCCCATCGGAGCTTGGATTACAACACACAACCTCATTCTCCGGTCAGGGAGCCTTTTATTTTTTACAAAGGAAAGAGTTGTTATTAGTTGTTAAATTAATGCTGTAAATGTTGAATACAGAACATTTAGCAACCCAAAATAAGAAAAATCTGAATCGCTGCTGAAAACATGACCTTCGTCATCCGTCCATCTGGCTATGAATTGGTTTAACTCTTCAACACAGTGAAATAAAAACAAATACTTTTTCTACGTTTTAGAGATAAGAAATTATGCTCAGATTCTGATGCCAACTTAGGTTGTAATGATGTCTACCAAATACACCTCACAGGGCTCAAAAGATAATACCAGAAGACTGGATTAAAAAGCCCATTTAATGAGCTTTTATGGGCTCACTCGAACTTTTTTCTGTCATCAAATTGGTTCCAAAAATGCATTTGTGTTGTTGAAGTTCATTTTGTGACTTTTTGTGACGAACGAGTCTGCTGAAAAGCAAAAGCTTATCACAGCTGTCATTTTGACCGATTCTAGAAAATGTGTCCTGCGTAGGCCTACTGCTAATTATTTTTTTACTTCTGGGGTCAGCCCGAAGTTCAAACACAAATCATCTCTCACAATCTCACTTTGTGTTCTTATGTCTCAGATGTCCCCCCATCCGCATCCTGTTCTGGGAAAAGAATCTTCTGTTATTGAGAATCCTGCAGGAAAGCAGAGCTTGCTGCGATCTCCATCGTACACACATTTGCTTTTGTTTTACTTCTCTTGTGATAAAGCTGTGAAACCTACATGTCTTGGTGTGAAGACGCCTCATCCGGCCAAAAGCAACAAAGGTTCAAAGCTCGACGAACTGGGTTCAATTTGTAATTTTAAAATAATCAGACCAACCTTATTTTCTATGATTTAATCAGTGGTCATTAAGCATCTCTAAATTATTTGGCTGTAACTTTGTCACTTTCCCACCTTTTACCGATTTTGTTCCTTTCATGGAGATGGAGGAGAGACGCCTGCATCGTGTTTGGTCAAAGCTCGGGAATCGGTGGGAACAAAAGACTCTGCAAACATTGGCTGAGCTCTCGCACATAAACAACGCAGCGGATGGATCCGATAGCAGAATAAGTCAGAAAGGCTCTGATTATTATTCAGGACACTAAGGTCCTCCCTCTCTAGCCCGAGTCGGAGCTTCGCCTGCAAAACTTTCCCTGGGATGGATCTTTTTAGAGGGAGGAGCGCTTCCAGAGAACAAAGGTGGCACTGATTTACTGTGTATTTAAAGTTTGGAATTTAAATGTTGGATGACGCCTAATGTGTCGCTTCTAGAAGCTACAAAGCAAGGAATCTGCCTGCATATATATGCTGTCCTCCCGTTTTAACTCACACTTGGCAGGAGGCAGAGGACTTTGCAGTTGGGACACCTGACTAACTTTGAATAAATGAGCAAACAGCCCGCTGTGCCGCAGCCGGGGCGGAGCCTCAGGGCCCCTGAGCAGAGAACCGGAGACTCAAAACATAACGGTATACGCACAAACAAGGGACTTTCACCCCTGGGACAGCGGCCCTTGTCCCGTGCGATCAGTTAAAGTTATAGTAACTTCATACGACGTGTGCCTTTTTCCAATTTGTCATTCTTGAATATCAGAAAATGATTTATTTCAAACGCAGAATGTAATCAATTGCACTAAATGTGTTTTGACAAATAATGTTACTGCATGCAATTGGAATTTTTGTTTCATGACTATTTACTTTTACTCTTCTATAATACACATTTTTTATCCGATGCATCAATACACGGATTGGTAGAATACCGAATTTCTGTCATAACCAAATGTCACGAATGGTGACTGTGCATTTCTTGTGTAGGACGATGTTTATTTTTAATAGACAAATGTCGGCCATAGAGCGCCGTCCGTAGAGCACCGCCCGTAGAGCCACGCCCATAGAGCGGCGTCCGTAGAGCACCGCCCGTAGAGCCACGGCCATAGAGCGGCGTCCGTAGAGCACCGCCCGTAGAGCCACGGCCATAGAGCGCCGTCCGTAGAGCACCGCCCGTAGAGCCACGGCCATAGAGCGGCGTCCGTAGCGCACCACCCGTAAAGCCACGCCCGTAGAGTGCCGTCCGTAGAGCACCACCCGTAAAGCCACGCCCGTAGAGTGCCGCCCGTAGAGCAACGCCCATAGAGCTCCGTCCGTAGAGCACCGCCCGTAGAGCCACGCCCATAGAGCGCGCCCGTAGAGCACCGCCCATAGAGCACCGCCCATAGAGCACCGCCCGTAGAGCCACACCAGTAGAGCCACAGCCTTAGAGCACCGCCCGTAGAGTCACAACCATAGAGCGCCGCCCGTAGAGCGCCGTAGTCCGAAGCTTCAACCTCAAACACTTCAAAGTCGACACACACATGTTTTCACTCAGTCTTTACTACATCGATGCCCGCCGGGCTTTTCTGTGCAGACGGCACACGTTCCGCCACATTCTAAAACACATGCGCTAAGGGGAACTCTAAATCTTTGGTGTGAATGTGGTTGTGTAAATACCAGTTGGGCCTAACATGGACTGTTGAGACTCCAGCAGCTTGACCCTGAGCAGTTTAGATGGTTTAACCAAATGAGGAAGGGAGGGATGGTTTCCCTTAATACTCAAGGCAAGTCGGGAAAATAAACTATTTCACTATTTGTTACGCATCCCCGGAAAAGGCACAGCGGAGGTCATCATGAACTTTATCAGTTGACTATGTTATTCCTCAATGAAAGGAGCTGTGTACATTTCTTTTTAGGACATGTACAAAAAGAAACACAAATGGAAGCAGATAAGACAGGAATATTTGGAACCTGATTTCCTGTTTCCACAAATGGTGAACGGCCGTATGTATGTGCGTTGTTGTTGTCCAGGGGGAGCTGCGCTTCTGTGGAGTAATGTTCTTCTCTTAACACTGCGCGAGGATAACAGATTTAGATAATAGATGCAGAGGCCGCACACACATGCTGTCAGCATGTTATGAAGTCTGCTGATGGTAGAAAAGTTTGGTGAACTTCGCCCTCTGGTGGGAATTGAGAGGAACGAGAACAAGGTGGAGAAGGACAGGAATATTACCAGCAGAATGTATCAAGACGTCAAAAGTACTCCTTCATTAAGGACAACTCTGAGCGATATATATCAGTGTACATGTCATTCTATTGCATTTATAATAGTCACGGTTTAAGGGAGGTTTTAATGTTGTAGCTAGTTGAACCACTATGTACAATGCTAAAGTCACAGTTATAGTTTATATTTCAAAGGAAGATCATGTGATTTGTTTTGTTGTTTGTTTTTAAAACAAGAATGTATAAACATGTGTATATTTTACATACAGTTTTACCTAATAACTGTAGTACTTTACATGTACTGTTTTGTTTTTACACCAAGTCATTTTAGGGCAGCAACAAATAATTACTTTCAACAGATCTTTTGGGTAGTCTTCCGATCTACTGATTGATTTATTACATAAAATGTCAGAAATGTGGAAATACTCTCATTTAAGAGGCGAAACAACAATTGTTAAAAATAATAGCAAATTATTGCTATTATTTCGCGTAGTTGTGACGGCTACAACGTGTTGTGTAGATAAACATTGATCTAAGCAGCAGAAGTATATTTTACTCTCTAGATAGCAAAATACCTGTAGGGTTGCATTTTGTTTGCATTTTGTTTTGGAAGCCAAAACTGTTCCGCGAACAAAAGACGAGGGCTCGTCCGGGATTTGAACCCGGGACCTCTCGCACCCTAAGCGAGAATCATACCCCTAGACCAACGAGCCATGTGAAATCCGAGGGAACTTACTGACTTTAAATTCCATCATCTGAACTGTCTGTAAAGTTCAGAACACATTGGAACGGCGGCTTTTTAAACGTTTGTCGATATCGCGGAAGAAATAGAAGCAATCGCTTGAAACGTAAATACAACAATTAAAGCGTAACGTGACCTGTTTTGGCAAACATAATCGGCGTTCCGTTGAATCACATCGTGGCTGTTGGCAAAATGTAAAGTGTTTTATTTTTACGTCTTATTTAAAAAAAGATTATTTTTGGAACGTTGTCGATGTTGTGACGTCACTTAACCACCGCCAGAGGGCGACATTACACTGCGAAGACGAGCCTGAGGCAGGAGGCGTCACTCCTTGGGGGGTTTTGGACCTTTTTTTGTGTGCTAATTCTGTTATGTTCTTATTTTCAAGAGTTTTTTCTTTATTTGCTCATTATTCTTTCCTACAATGTAAGAATCTGTTTTTCTTCACTTGTCTATCTGGACCACTTTATGGAATAAAATAAATGTACTTTTTAGTGAAAAAGACAATAACCGTCTACACATATTTTCTTTCCTGAAACCATGTTATATGAAAGAGAGAACAAGGTTGAAACCAAATATAGTAAATGAATCTCAATTTTACTCTCTAAATGTGGAATGCAATTAATTCACTAATGGTTTTGCATATTAATGAACGTGTTAATTAATGACTGCAGATGTACATTAGCATGTAGCTTAATCTTGCATAAATCACCTCTTGAAGTGATTCATCAGTCTATCTTTTTTTTATTTTTTTATTCCGGGACTCACTTTAGTGTTTCCATTTACTTTAATTAGACTAATTTCTAGGAACTTTATTATATTTCCTCCATTCAGTTTGAACAGCATACTGGTTTGTGTGTAAATGTAAGAAAGTGGGAGTGGGTGAGCGCATCAATGTACTATTGATATGACAAGAAAATATTGCTTTCAAGAATGCAGGGAATACACTTTTTTTATTATCAAGTAGCCGTGTCAGACTCAATAAATCTCAAGTATACCAAGTGGAGACTACAAGGTAATTCCCAAACATCCAGACTTTTTCTGACAGGGTACTGGGTGGCACAGAGAATGTGTGTGCATACACAGTTTCTCCAGTATATTTAGAAAATAGAATTTTTAGCCCAGTGGCCTTTTGGGCCCCGTTGTTGGTTTCGGGAGGGTTTTCCCGCGGGGGGGGGGGGGGGGGGGGGCACGAATCCAGAGGCTCTTAAATGATGTGTTTGTGCTGCGAGCAGATGCAGCCTCAGTTCAGACACCCAAAGCAGGAGGGGTTGGCACATATGTCACAAGGATCCGAAGACGAGACGATCGACGCTGGAGAGTTAAAGAAAAAAAAGAATACAAACATAAATATTCATCCGTACTCAAACATTCTTTCTTTGCATCGCACGAGGAGCCGGAGTCTCAAATTGAATGATATGCTGGGGGTCTGCATCCGTCTTGAGGCGGGAACAAGGGCGCAGTCTGTGTCTGATGAGGCTCGACGGCCCCCTCGCAGACCATCTGAAGAGCCCTTCATGAGCCTCTTGATAAGCGTTAACAGCCCACAGCGGCTTTACGATGCACCAAGTGCAGGACGTGCACGACACCAAGTGTAAACAGTGAAGTCGAGGAATCCGTGCGAGGGGAATAATGGAAACCCGCTGCTGTCTTGACTCTCAAGTGTGAGAGAGCGAGCGCGTGTCCGAGTGACGCCGCTGCTGATCCGACAGCGTTTCTGAGTATCGGATTTGTATTAACTGCATTGTGAACGCTGCGAGAAGGTCCGAGTAAGTGGCGTATTGCAAAGACGCAGAGAGTTTCCACGGGGGGCGACGGAAGGTCAGGCGGGTCGTCGAGGAGGCCGCTGTTAAATGTTGACATTCTGTCCTGTCAATCGATACTCACTTAACTCCACGTGTCCGTATTGGAAAAGTTGAGAGTGACAATTTGTCCACTCAGCAGGTACGGCCCAGTGCGTCAGTTGGGTTGCTAGAAGGAACAGTTTGACATTTGGGGAAATACACATATTTGTTCTAAGGCTGCGTTTACGACAACTTGAAATCGGTCCCTACGCCAAACGGGTTTACGGTGTGATAGTGTGTATTATTTAATTAAGTAAAAGCAAATACTGTCTTTAGGTTGGTGGTTCCACTATTTACAATGTCTAGTTTAGGAACTAAGAGGCTATTTGCTCCCGTCTATGTAAAGTTCCTGTGAAGCAAACAGTGTGTTTTCTAAGCAAAGAAAGAGGAACCAATGCCTCCGAGCTGAAGGCCACAGCAGGAAGCTATTGAGGGTTGTTGTTGTTGTTGTTGTTGTTGGTTTTCTACCCATCGGGACACATTGTGCTTCAACAGCAGAACGTTGTTGCCGCCGCCGGTTTGTCGGTCGTACCTAGTTTGGAGAAGACCAGGCCCGCTCTTTTCTCTCGGCACACGGGCCCAAAGACCCTCGGCAGGACGGGGTCGGCGCAGACGGCCACCACGCCGGCCGGGAGAGGCGGGGGGCCCGCGCCGTCGCCCCGATCCATCAGCTCCATCAGCTGCTCCACTGCCTCCAAGGGGAAGCTCCTGTCCCCCACCTGGCAGGCGAGGGGCAAGTTACACTGTGAGGTACGTGAGGCCACATGGGAACCACGAGGGGGGGAGAAGCGATACTCACTCTGACGTGCACACCCAGAGCTCCCGTGCACGCACACAGCACCACCGCAACGAGCACGACGCCGAGCACCTTCATTTTCCAGGCGATGGGAGACGCTCCTCAGGCCGGAGGAGAACTTCTTCTGTGGTCGCCGTGCAGCGGCTCTTCCTCTTATAGAGGCGTGAGGACGGATTAATGAGCGATTTATTAACAGAGACCACTGGCAGGGGGAGGTGAGTAGCGGGGGAGAGAGAGAGAGAGAGAGAGAGAGGGGCAATGAATAAGACAAAGATAAACCAAAGGCGTACGCACTTTTAGTTTACAACCACCATGCTGTGAATTTGTTTATCTCCGCTGTGTTCGCCGTCATCGCCTCTGGGTCTCACGCTGATGCATCCGATGCCTCTGGGCCGCCGAATAAAGCTGTCTGATAAGCGGGCGGCCATATATGTTCCACATGGGTCGCTTGTTTGCACACCTCTGAGATTCGCAAATTAGGCCACTTTATTATTATTTTGTTTGCTGTCTTTGTCAGAAGATAACACCTAATAAACCGCCTGGAAAATGTTCAAACGCTCCGAAGCACCTCCTGTGAACGTTGGTGAGAGAGAGCTGCTCTTTTGCCATCAGATGTCCGGGAGGCTACCATCTCACTCTCTCTGATGTTGTTTTGGCAGGTCTCACTCTGCTTGGAGAGAAGAAGAAAATCAAGGCTTCAAAAATCATTGTGCACTTGCGGTTTTTATAGCTCTGAGATGGACTTTGCTTTATATATTTTGGGCCAAGCTGTCTGCAACTTACTAAAACCCACCTACACTGCAATAGAAAACCTTCACTTAATATCTGAACTTTAACCCTCAAATACATTTTGGGACTTATGTTCCACGTTTGTCGGTTTATGTTCCTCATTGCTACACACACACACACACACACACACACACACACACACACACACACACACACACACACACACACACACACACACACACACACACACACACACACACATACAATGGCTGTTCTATACAACTTAAACAGATGAAAAGATCCAAAAGACAAGTATGTTCAAATATGAGGCAGTATGACTGAATACACTGAGATGCTGACATCCTGCACAGTGTGAAATAAAGAACAAAAGCACTATTTGAACCTTTACAACTCCCAAACAAGACGTGTCAACGACGTGCGCGGCAAACATCAAATTCTTAAAAGTTAATGGGAGGATCCAGTGTCGTTTATGACAAGTTAGTGAAACAATCCTCCTAAAAGTACGGATATTTGCTTCTGATGTAACAAGATGAAAGACAATCTGTCTGTTAGATTGTAACTTTGTTTAAGTGGCACGTGAACAGAATATTATTTGATGCTTTCAGATAAACATTACCACTAACAACGTATCACACAGGTCATCAGCACCCGTAAGGAGGACATGCAGTAAGTGGAGGGAGAAGCAGCAGCAGCCACAGTGACATCATGCAGAAGTGAGAGGAAACGACCCTCTTTCGGGAAGCTGCGTCTGCTGCTGCAGGACCCAACAACCGCACCAACACGTCACCGCAGGACCCAACGACCGCACCAACACGTCACCGCAGGACCCAACAACCGCACCAACACGTCACCGCAGGACCCAACGACCGCACCAACACGTCACCGCAGGACCCAACAACCGCACCAACACGTCACCGCAGGACCCAACAACCGCACCAACACGTCACCGCAGGGCCTTTATTTCATCAATCCATTCACCGCTTCACACACCAAGTATTATGTACATATGCATATGTGTGATTGCTATTTCCTCATATGTCGACAGTCAACATAAAGGTGACACAAACCAGCGGAAAAATGAAGAAGTGATACTAAAAGTTGTGCATTGACGCTAGTTGTTAAGTTAAGATTTGAACAAACGGGATATTTCTTGTTCATCTTAACCAAGTATAAAATCGCATGAAATTGATTCATGTTGAAAACGTGGCGTTGTGCGTTTTTTAAGCGTTATGAGACTGTAATGTAATACTATATATACCGTATATAAACAGTATAGATATAATTTTACCCTATTCCCCCCAAAAGTACATTTTCAACATTTCTATACATTTTATTTTGCTAATCTACCTGGTTGGCATTTCTGCGGGTACAGTACACACTATAAAATACAAATAGAAACAGTAATAATAATAGTAATGATAAGTTTGAATATGTAGGAAACAGGACCACGTACTGATGATATATCAATGAAAGCTTTTTATTCAAAACACGGTTACAAAAAGAAGGAACATAAGGAAAAATGTAACAAACAGTGTCAATTCCCAAAATCTATGAAAGATAACTGTCAGCAGAAAATAAAGTGGTTATACAAAGTAACAGTTTACAAAAAAGCACACCTTAGTTTGTCAGATTTCTTTTTTTGGGGCGAATTTTAGGTCTAACGGCAATTTCTGAATGTGACCATCGGGCGGGAGTCAGAGCCTCTGGTGTCCAGGGGACACAAAGCCCTGAGCTCCACATTGCAGGAAAACGTCTGAGAGGTTCCCTGGCGCAGTTTCCAGGGGGGAGGAGAAGAATCACAAGGAATGAGCTGGGCAGGAAGATGCTTCCGGGCGGGCGGCGTCGGTTCAGCAGCCGGTGCAGGCGGCGAAGGCGCAGATCTCGCAGACGTCCATGGGAACCATGGCTGACAATAAAGACACAACCGCCGTGAGCGCGGCGCACAAAGACTGACGTTTCGATATGTATGCATGAATGCGTGTGTGTGTGTGTGTGTGTGTGTGCGTGTGAGTGTTTGCGCACGTATGTGCTCTCCACAGATCCGGCAAGGGGAGGAGAAAACCCCACTAGATCTACATAGGGCCATCTGCTCCTGCGGCAGCATGGCGTCGGCGCACAGCGGGGCGGAGCTCGCCCGGAGCCGCGGGCTCTGCGCGCCGCCGCCGCCGCTCTGCGTCAGCTCCTGGAGCCTCTTGACGGCCTCCAGAGAGAAAGACAATCCGTTCTCCTGGAAAGGAAATTCATGCAAAAGGGCCATTGAAGCAAAAGGCACAGCGTGCTCGAAGCGGGAGCGCTTTTGTGAATGATGCTCCCGGAAAGGAGTCGCAGAAGCGGCAGAAAACGTACCTCGACCTGCACGGCCTCGGAGGTCCAGCCGAGGGCCAGGAGGAGGACAGCGATGGTGGCGAGAGAGGCCTTCATGGTGACGGTGGAGGTTGCGGGTTGCGGGTTCGGGGTCGTTGCTCGTCTCGGAGGAGGCGGGTCGATCGGCGGGTGCTCGGCTGGGTTTCTGCTCTCCCTCCGTCCTCCAGCGGCCTTTTAAACACTTCGGTCAACGCAACCCGGCGGTGATGTGACCATAATGAGAGCATCAAGTTTTTTTCCCACGGGTTAATCAGTGTTTTCCGGGGCTGTAAAAGTGTATCATAAGTCATAATCATAAATCCGTCTCCGGCCCCATTTTTATGGACCTCTTGCTGCTGCAGAACAGATCACATCTGGTTGGTTAAACAGTTACCATCCGCCGGTTCCTCTGTACATCAATGAATACTAAAATATCATATTTAAAAAGTGAGCACCACAGTATGTTACCGCAAATGAATGTTGTTAAATCTCATAATGTTTTGCCTACTTTACATTTTAAACACTTTTTCGTGAAACGGAAAAATCAGCCAACTGCATTGAACCGGTCTGAAACCATCAAATATATATGCAAATATAGTTTTATCCCATTGACTTTCCTGCACAGCGCTCATCAACTCGACGTGTGGAGAAGTCACAATGTGTTTACTGAAAACAGGTTGATGAGTCGGCAGCTGCTTTCTGCTTCGGCCCGCAGAAAAAAACTCAACGTTCACTTTATTTATTTATTAAGACCTCGAGTCCATCCGGATCTGAATTAGTAATCGGTGACATTCGTAAGACACGGCTACTCTACCTTCGTGATTCAAAGCCGACCAGACACTGGAGATGTGGGAAAAAGCGCCCAGGAGTCATGACTTGGAGACGAGTGTGAAGCTCTCTGCAAACACCAGGAATGAAAACGCTGACTTTCCTGAATGAGCAGCTAAAAGCGCCTGTGGAGGTCAGCGGGAGGCCCGGGAAGTGGACTTATTCGTGGACACACGCGTGCCCCCACATGCACAACACGTGACACATTTTTTTAATGAGGCCTTTTCAACACATTTCTGCACCAGAGACAAAAGGGGGCATCTAACTACACACGAGGGGGGCAACGCTGCGTCTCAACAGAGGTCCTCAATCTTTCATTACAGTCAGATATAATAGTGCGTGAAACAGAAAATCCAATTCTAAGTGCTTATTATTGAGTTGTTACTGTGTGAAGTTGTGATTCATGAGGGATTTTTTGCCATTAAAGCATGAAACGTGATCTGTTTTGAACTACTAGCAGTTCCTCTGAAGAAAACCGGAATTAACAATGTTAACGAGTGTTTGATTAATTGCGATCTACTTCATTGATACCCTCAGCACAACAAAATCATACATCTATTATTAGCGCATCTCGTCGCTCCGTCTTTGATGAGCTTAGCGTTTTATATTTTCAAAGGCTTTCTTGTGTCATTGCATATTTGTCGACAAAGTAGACTCAACATAAGTGTGCTAATTGACGTCGCTGCTGACAACCACAGTAACGTCACCCAGTGGTTTGGGATCCCCAGTTTTTGAAGCCCCGAGTTCGCAGCTTTTGCCGCGACACGGGAGGCCGGAGCAACAAGTGCAACAAAACATTAAAGTTCCAAAACTAAAACACCCGCAACTCTCTGACCGGACAACGCCTGTCAATCACACGGTTGGGAACATAAACTCATGTTAAAATCTCTTGCCGTGGTAATAAATCCGGTGATTTTAAGGTAATTTTCTCACATCTCTTGGAACAATTTGACTTATTTTCCCTTTCTTTCCTCGGTACTGAGTGGTATTCCGCCTGCGTTTGACCCAGACGGGCGGAAGTGGCACTCGACACACAGATTGCAGTTGTCGATCAATAACGCTTACTTCAGACAGGTGAGGCCTGGCATCAGGCCAACGGGCGGCCACGACGGAAGCGCGTGTGGGCGGTGCAGTGTGCCGTGAAATAAACCAGGGTGAGGCAATCTGCGTTAATAATTTAAGTTTATTGAAATATTGATGGTATCCGTGCTCTTTGGGGGTGGGGTGAAGAATCGTTTGCGTGAAGCCTAAACCTCCTCGTGGAAGCTTCTGACGCGTTTCTGCTCAAACACTTCGTAGTTCAGGAGAGTTATTGATTTACACACAAGTGGAATATTCTCTGTGATTCGTGGGGGGGGGGGATGGGAGGAAGTTATTAAGCAGCTCCTCATTTTGATATAGTTTGGTTAGATTCCCTGCTGCCACTCTACAGGAAGTTAGACCCCAGTGTGAGTGATTTACAATGATTCCAGCTTATTCCCAGACGCGCGTATCAATCACACTGCGAGTGACTCATTTGACGTATACTGAAGCTTCGTTGTTTGATCGGCTCGGCCCTTCTCACCGGCCACAGACGTATTTGCTCTTAGTCATTAAGTAGATACGTTAAAAAACGACAAGACTTCCGTCGGGAGATTGTGATTTGCTATTAGGTGTTTATGCAAACATGTTTTTATTGTTTGACAGCCAGTGTGAACAAACCACATAACTCCAGCTGGAGAAAAGTGAACAAAACCTTTATTCTAAAATGTGGAACTACACCTTTGAATGGAAGACATATTGCCTTATGAAAAAGGACATTTAGGAGATATAACATTAAATCTCTCCATTTTTATGGGCCTTCGAATCACCAAACGTCAAGATCGCATGAATGAGATTTATAAAATCAACCCAGTGTTCTTTCTGACCCTTTAGGTTTGTAGAACGCGCTTTACTGCTACGTCCAAAGCCGTAAACTGAGCAAATCATCTGTGTCAAATGTGTAATGTCATAACACGGCCAATGAGAAGATAATGAAGTGTTCTCAAACAACAAATAAGGTCAGAACGCTTGAAATGCAAATTAAGTGAATTTTATCTTTCGGCTTGAGACACAGAAACGTGCGAATGCTTTTGTCCGTTGAGCGCTGTCGATTCTCCAGATCCAGCTGATCTCCCATGTGACATCGACGGGGCCAGTTTCTCTCCCGCGCTCGGCATGCACACCACCGGGGCAACCGGGCCAAACTGAATGGCACGTGGTCATAATTGATGTTGGTAATTACACGTGCGGTTTCCCCTGAAAGGAGGCTGATGAAACAACAGCGGGTATCAAAGAGTGAGGGGCTGCTTTTGTCATTTCGTTGGAGCACATTTGGCGATTTGGTGCAAGGATGTGTTGCTAACTGTTCCGCCCCGACAGGTCTCGCAACAAACGAAGGGGGGAATTTACGGCACATATTTGGGGATTTAAAGAATTTAAGCAGAATGCAAACAATGATTTCTATTACTGCATGAATTTGGATCAACAAAAAGCAAAAATATGGGTTTTCATGACGGAGTTCGTCGTATAAACATCACTTGTAAAGAAGCGTAGCGTGTTATTGAGGGTCTTATCTCTAACGATCAGTCTCACGCTGCAGTCCACCCTCATCACTCATGCAGCACCTGCAGACGGAAGCCGCGGGGCTTCGTTTGTTGGTTTTCATAACCGGCTGAACAATACTCCCCCGACAATAAATCAGGGTTGTTTATTTCCCCTGCAGGCTGGCCGTCATCGTGGTTGGTGTTGTATCAGACGCCGATGTTCCCATCATCAGTCAAACACAAAACACACTGTGGTGGAAAAAATGGGTTTCACGCATACTGCGAGTTGTCTTGGTTCCTCCGTGACCTCCTCCTTTTACGATGGCTCATCGTAACCGGAAACACGGTCGTCCCCATTTATTGTGTGTGTGTCTTTTGTTGAAGACTCACCGCTCACCGTCGTACTGAGGGGAGGGAGGAGGGAATGGAACGGGTGAATTCCTTCAACAAAGGCTCTGTGCTCCGGTCCCCTCGCACGGTGTCGTCCTGCGGTTTGTGTGGAGCTCCGATGGGTTTTAAAAGCTTTTCTTTACACCGAGAAGCTCGTCAGATCCTCCTGCTCCTCCGAGGGAGAAGGAACTCTCTGTCCCTTTGCAGTCATTGGACTTGTGTTGATGATTTCTGTATTTTTTATGATTTTATATATACATAAGAAATACTTAATCACAAACGAGTTTAAGTTACCTTTACATTTTTCACAAGGGCTAATTTCCACCACACACACTTAGTATTCTAATACTTAATTTGAATGCATGTTGATCCAACTGTCTCTGTATCCAACTGAATTGAAATAAAGTTGTACTTTATTCTGCCTCCACATTTCAACAGTTGAATTAAATTAGTTTTATTACTACTGGGACTTAGTAAGTTTAGTTTTCGCGCAATTTGATATAATCCAATCATACATGAACACTTTTAATTATGTCTCTTATACATTTAAACAAAGCTAGTGACACAAGATTAAAACAAGATGTGTGACGTGACAAAGTGGACACATTGCAGATCTGGTTACATTTAAACTGCGCGTTCGCTTTATCGCTCTCAGTTACGGGAATTTTAAAATTGAAAAAATCAGTTGTGCCAGTAAATGCATTGCACGAAACAAGTGAAGCAATTTCTCATCCAGATGTAGTGTCTTGACTGAGAGACTAATACTCAACTGCACTTTGTTTTTTTCTTTATTTGTGGACAGGAGGAGATAATATGAAAACCATTGTTGGGTCCTTGAGAAACTATCCTGGGATCAGGGACCGATAACTGTAAATTAACTCAATATGCCAGAAGCCACAGGAATGTTCCACATTAATACTTTATTTACTATTAACAATACGGATCAAGTCATTCCTATTTAAAATGAACAGATAAGATGAACAAATTAAAAATGGAAGAAGCTGTGTATAAATGGGCATGAAGCCTGATGGGTTACATATTATTATCTCAGGTAATTTGCTGCTGTGGCCCATCTCTTCTGTCCTCGAGTGACCTTTAACAGCTCCGAGGTGTCGTTTATACTCATTACTTTGTCCAATGAAATGAAAAAAAATCAAGTAAATCATGTGGATTTGAGAGTTTTGGGACAGGTGTTCAATCCATAAATAGCCGTGACGATTAATGCCACGCTGTGGTTCCTGTGTTGCCCTGGTTACCAACCGCACACAATAAAAAGAAATCACTTGGACCAAAAAAACTAAATCTGTTAAAGCCTTCGATGTTTCACATGAGTTGAGGCTGCACCACTGTGCATAAATGGTCTATTCTTCTATTATGAGCGATTACATTGAGGGGACAATGTCACGCGGCTTGGTGCATTCTTCTTGTTTTTTGATAATGCAGAAAATACCAATTATATCCTGTAAATGATCACCTGAGTGCCGAGAGGGCAGCCCTTTAGGTCAATGCCCCGGAAGAAAGGTCAGGCCCTTTTCAGACGCAGTATGCAAAAGAAGTATTTCATGGAACAAGAAACATCACGTTACATCCTCTGCATCTCTAAGTCAACGCTTCACTTTGCCTAAAGGTATTGGAACCGTGCACTTTCATCCACACTGTCACTAAAACTGATTTGGAGGAGCACCAAGATTCATTTGGAGTCACGTTGTTTTCCATTTAATCAGCAGGTCACTTAATGAATCTGGCTCTTCATGATTAATAGAGATGTATGAATAAATCTGGTCATGAATAACACGCAGCAGTTATTTTACGCATTCACAAACACGTACACACGTGTTGTTTGTCTTCGCTCTGGATGCTGAAATGAGATATTGTAGAACAACAATGTTTGTGATGTTTATTATTCTAAAATATCGATCCACTTGGTAAATCGTTTGTTTGAATATCCACATTTTTTACGACATTTCAAGGTAGTAGATTGTGCAGGGGTCAAGTGAAGGTCATAGCGCCGCCTGTTGCGCGGCGCTCCAAGCGTTTGCTGTAAAAAAGGAAAATTTATCTTAAATAAATAACTTGATGGGTCTCTTTTTGACCTCAAACGTTCAGATCTTTGTCCATTATTTACAGTTCCATTCTGCAGGAATATTATAGTATGGTAATTTGATTAGACATGACATGATTTAAGAAACGTGCGCCTTAAAAGAACAAATATGAACTAATATCAGCCTGAACATCTGCCAAACTGAATAAGACAGAAACAATAGAGCCGCTTTTAGCATTAGTTGTATATTAAAGCTACTATTAGGAACTGTCACGTTAAGTTGTAAGCGGTCATTGGGAGGAGGGCGATGAGGAGGACGATGAGGAGGACAATGAGGAGGACGAGGTGGAGGACGAGGTGGTGGTGCTGAGCAAGGAGCTCTCCTTGACTCGCCGGAGCAGGGACTTCAGGTCGACTCTGCAGCATTATTTTGTGATAATTAAATCAGCATGAGGTGCTGTGGGTTCAACAAGGCCATCATTGGCACTAGAAATAGGTCCTCAGTAGTTACCACACAGTGTGGGGGGGAGCCAACAAAGCAGCGCAAACTAATAAGAATGGTAACTTTAGCAAGATAAAGAAATGCCGAAGTGAGCCTTTTTAGAATTGGACACAAGAGCAGGTTAATGCTCCCATAAATGGAACAATGCTGCTTTTTTATTTGTTTTTTTTAGGCAATGTACAGGCATCGTTTTAGAGGTTCTCTGTCTCGTCCTGTTCTTAATCATCACATTACTCTGATATTTACTTTTTCAGTTAGTAAAAGTATAAATTGTTCATGAAGGGTCATCATACCTCATGTAAAAGGTTCAACTGGATGTTTCAGAAAAATGTGGTTGAGGTTTGAGCTTCAACATGCCACTTTTTTGCCATGTTTATTTGTCTTGTTGTTATATGTTATTACGGTTAAAAATTAGTTTCGGATAACACTAAGTCCTGCAACTTTTCAAACATCTGAAAAGAACTGACCTTGTGTCTAAGTGTTTATTGATGTCGGATTTCCTGTACAACCAGAACTGTGCCAGTCGGGTCACACAGAAGATCCTGCCAGTATAATTCTGTGAGATCCTGCTGGGATTGCCCATAACAAAACACAAACATGGTGGGAAACAGCCCGCTCCGAGTGTGCTGCGTCTGTTTAATAGGAACCGTGGCCGAATTCCTCATCATCGTGCAAAGAGGAAGTCTGCAGTCATTTGTCCAGACAGATGGTTTATCGAGAATTAAATTACAAACAGCTCCAATTTACTCATAACGTCATTACGTCTTTTTAGCTTTAGCTGCAGGCATGTCAGGGTGTAAAAATCAGATGGTGAAGCAGCTGTTTTTGTGCAAAATGTCTATATTAGATATTTCAATTTCAGATGCAACACTGGGAAACGTATTGTGATGTTACCAACCGTCGCTTCTACCCACCTCATGCTTTTAAACATCTGCCTACTGCACCTAATTCTACCAGAGGACCCTCCACTCCATCTATACTCTAAGTATCCCTAAAGCTCTCCTGCTACGGAACAGCCTTCGTAACATATTCTGGCTTTTCTATATTCATGCTTGAAATAAATTATTTAGGAATGGTTGGAAACGACGTGGAAATGCACAAATACACAAATACACAACATCATCATCCACTATTACGTGGATTAAATACCGTGCAAGACTTACTAGTACTGGAGGCTGGATACAAATTATACTACTTTACTTAACTTGGTTCTTCCAGCAGTGAATGGGAACAGCTGACTGACATCACTTTCAGCTAAACTTTGGACCTTTTTGCACAGATGTGCAGATTTTACTGCTCATGTCGTCCTCCATTAATGACATCGGCAGAACGGTGAGGAATCTGCTCGTGGTGAAAAGGTCTAAACAGACACTCTGAACCCGTCGTGCTCTTAGACAATATATTGTTGTGACTTTTTTGGTGGATTGTTACTATCCCAGTGATGTGTGATGAGCAGCACACGTCACCTGCAACAATTCCCCTTTTTGTTGTCCATATGTCAGTCAATCAACATGTTGTCGTGCAATTGGCCAGACCTCGTGATTTATCTCTCCCCACTGCCTCCCTCTGCAGACCCCCTCCCTCACCCCCGGCTTCCCTCCTCCCTCCACCTCTTTTCTGTACATCTCACCAGTGCCTCTCCTTCCGTCTCCTCTGCAGCAACCAGAACCGCATCCAACAACTTTTGCGTTTGCTTGTTTTTAAATTCTTTATTTTCTGCAGTTATTCACCTCATTTGCAGCGTTCGCTTGCTCGTCTCCCGTCATGATCAGAGCGGGTTAAGGTGAGGTGGACTTCTATTCGAAATATTTGAAAAATATGTCTTTGCGATGGTGTGTCTGTGATCAACTTAACGTGTCCTGTTTGCTGTGTTCTCATCATGTTTTACCTTCTCTTCTTTTTTTTCACGTCGTCATTCAGCTTTTCAATGAATGACCATTTGGCCAATTGAATTGTTTAACCTTAAATTCCTAAAAGACAGTCCTCATGTAATAATAATAATTGGCATACTTAGAAAAAGAACCCAAAGCCATTAAGTGACACAGTTGGAGCACTGGCTGCCTGTTGGGGAACATTACGTTTCTGTCAGGTGAAATCCGACAATGCAGCTCTCGGCTGAGCGCATTATTCGTCAGACCTTGGATTTGCAGCGACATAATTGACCTTCTAGAAGAAGCTATTAGTGTCTATCAGTGCAGTGTGTGTAATGCCAATTACGCCCTACAGATTCAGGCTAATGATGATAATTATTCCCTGCATATCAGTTTTGCAGTTACATAAATACCCTCATCAGTCAGGGTGAATAAAGATTTGAATATGAGCTTAATATGATTTTCTTCCGCAGACTACCAGTCACCAGACTAAACAATAATGTGATAATAATAAAACAGTTGGTTGAGTAAATTACATTTAAAAACATCTTTGCATCTTATCATTAACTTAATATCTTTGAGTTTTTTGATTTATGTTTGGTTAAAACAAGGAAAATGAGGTTCCCATGAGTTTTTGGGAAAATATGAATAAGGTAACTAATGGGAAGAGTAATTAAAACAATCATCCTCTAGTTATATGTATTTGTGGTTTAATTTAAATCCTTAATTTAAGCTTGATACGGGTCAAGATTAAACACTTTTCGAGCTCTTAAAAGACAATTAGGTCTCAAGATCTCGAGCTTATGGTAAGAAGAAACGATACCTCAGAGACATAACTCGAATGCCCTCATCTGGTGGCCCTTTTTGTGTCCTCTTTTCTCTTATCTTCGTTTACGGCAGGCCTCAAAAATCAGCGCCGGAGGCGTTGACCTCTCCACCGGGTTGTCCCCCGGTTTTCCTGTCCGAAATGGAGCTCACAATGCAGGGCTACTCTTCGAACGCCTCCACCTTTCTCCCCAACCGCAGCGAGCCGCTGAACTACACCGATGACCAATTCACCGAAGTCAACCTCTTCGAAATCCTGGGTCCCAAGCGGTCTCCCTTCTTCCTCCCCGTCACCAGCGTCTACCTTCTCATCTTCCTCACCGGCTTGTCTGGCAACGTGCTCACGTGCGCAGTGATCGCAAAGCACAAGAAGATGCGAAACCCCACCAACCTCTACCTGGTGAGCCTGGCCGTGTCCGACCTCCTCGTGCTGCTGTTCGGGATGCCGTTGGAGGTCTACGACCTTTGGAGTAACTACCCGTTCCCCTTCGGCACGGGCGGCTGCTACTTCAAGACCTTCCTCTTCGAGACGGTCTGCTTTGCCTCCATCCTCAACGTCACGGCCCTGAGCGTGGAGAGGTACATCGCCGTGGTGTACCCGCTCAAAACGCGCTACCTGTCCACCAACCGGCACGCCAAGCGGGCCATCACCGCCGTGTGGGCGGTCTCCATGATATGCGCCGTCCCCAACACCTCCCTGCACGGCATGTTCTACGTCCCGGAGAGGATGGAGGAGTCGGCCACGTGCACCGTGCTGAAGCCGCTGTGGATCTACAACGTGGTCATGCAGATCACCACCGTGTGCTTCTACTTTGTGCCCATGATGGTGATTAGCGCGCTGTACCTGGTGATGGGTCTTCACCTGTGCCGGGAAAGGCGGCTCCCCGCCGGCGTCTTGGGGAAGAACTGTGGCAGCGTCATTCGGAGGAAGAACAGCGTGAACGGACGCAGGAGACAGATAAACAAAATGCTGTGTGAGTTATTCTGCAGGCAACGTGTGTGTGACTGTGAAATGTTTCAAAGGTTTGGGGACGGATCTCCTGTAATGTGTGATATCTTTGCCAAGGCATGTACCTGAACAGAGGAAAACACAGAGCAAACAATATCGGCAGCTATGCTTTGAGGGGATCATTTGTATTCTGGAGTGAGTCACATTCTCTAAGCTTTGGGCTGTGTATAGTTCTTATAGTCCATCTGCACGGCTCCTCACTCTAACTTAATGGATTTTGTCCTTCCGGCATGAGAAGTTTCATTGTAGATTGGTATATATCCCTCATCGAATGACAGTAGCAGGTTGCTTCGAATTGAAACCACATGAAAAGACTTAGCAGGGCTACTCAGCAGCATTAAAACATTTAAAAAATCACATCAAAGAGACTGCATGAATATCTCATCAAATTCAATTAATTCCTGTGGTTAATTACAGACACATGAGAAATAATGTCACATTGGATCTTTACGAAAATGTTCAGAAATGATGCACAAATAGTGCATCATTTTCAATCGAGTTATTTTGTCCTGTCTTTGAGAAGTCAGCCAATAGTTACATTACATTACGTTACATGTCATTTAGCGACGTACAATAAGTGCATTCAACCATAGGGTACAAACAAGAAACAAGAAAGTGCAATTTCCTCAAATAAGCCAATTTACAATTTGCTATAGATGAGTGACGTTACAAGTACAATTTAAGTGCTACAATTTGTTTGTGGAAGATGTGAAGGCTCTCTGCGGTCCTGGTGTCTTCAGAGAGCTCGTTCCACCATTTCGGCGCAAGGACAGCAAAGAGTCGTGATCTAGTTGGAACAAGGTGAATCAGAATATAGATGCCGTTCTGCCAAAGAACCTGGAATAACAATACTTTGTCATCGAGCCTTTAGGCTCTACTCAAATGGGGAAAGTTAAATAAACAGATCTAAGTCAGTTAGCTTTGTGCTAAATACCCACCATCATAAACAGCCTGCTGCGCCTCCTTCAGTGGGATCATGCAGGGAGTATTATGCATGGATTAATAAGAGAGGAATGGAATGAGAGCTTTATCACCATTAAGTACCACTCACAACGACACGATGAGAATCAAAGGATCCTATTATGTAACTAAAAAGACTTTTTAGATTCAGTATTTAGCACATGTTAAATGTGATATCAACGAGTAATGTTTTCTTCATTGAGACAAACATCACCGGAAGTAACAGTTATTATTTAGACTACAACACTGTGCATTGAGATCGGCATTCTCATCCTCATCTGACTTGTGTAATGTCCCAAAGGCTAACACGGCTACAAACAGGACTAAATGTGGACATTATCTATCGTTGCCCGTAAGGTTGCCAAAAGCATCGAGAGTTTATAAATATTCCAAACCGGCGAATCGTGTTTAACCTGCAGCTGCAACAACGAGGCGACTAAACCGTCTGGTTCTCTCTGGCCTGATTCTCCAGCGATCGTGGTGGCGGTGTTCGGAGTCTGCTGGGCGCCCTTCCACATCGAGAGGCTCCTCTGGAGCTCCATCACCCAGTGGACCGACTCGATGCACGCCGTTTATCAGTACGTCCACATCGTGTCCGGCGTCTTCTTCTACCTCAGCTCCGCGGTCAACCCCGTCATCTACAGCCTGCTGTCCACGCGCTTCAGGGAGTGTTTCCGGGAACTCGTTTGCTCGCAGGCGGAGGACAACAGCTCCGTCAGAGACTCGCCGCCGCTCCCTATGACTCTACTGGAGGCCACTGTCTCGAGGGGCGCAGCTCGGGCCGAAGGGAAGGACTCCAACACCGGCCTCCCTTTGCTGTCGCCTAACGTGGCGCTGAGCAAAGACAGCGCAAGCGCAGAGACTTCTGTGTTCTGACTCCGGAACCAGCAACCGTCATTGGACATTTTGGGAGTTAGATGAGACAATCTAGACAATTTACAATATATTTGGCAAAGGTAGCGGTTAGCTTGGTACAAAGGCTGGAAGCGGGAAAAGCTAGCGGCAAGGCTAACGCTAACTGATCGACAGACCGCTGCGTATTTCTTTAATCTCTAAAAGAATAAAAAAGTGAAAAGACATTTCCATAACTGTGTTACTTATTAAATAATCTGTTACCTGCTAAAATCACTTAATACGTATCCGCCTGTTCAGGGTTTAGGGTTAGTCGGGGTTTTATGACACCAAAAATATATCTGTACACTATGAATGCATTAAAGAAAGAGATATGATGTGGAATCCAAAACGTCCTAATCAGCGGATTCCTATCTCTGTTTCTAGCCCTTATGCTAAGCTAACGGTCTGCTAGCTCCAGTAGTTTTGATATTCTTCTTTAAGCCTCTGCAAGAAAGTGAAGCCATTTCTCAAAAGTTTTAAACGGTTCCTTTAAGCCTGCATGTTATTAAAGAGCTCGTATGTGGACTTTTGATGCGTTTGTTTGTTGCTTTGAATAGTATTGTTGGAACAGTGCCTGCATATTTCACCCGCTGTCTTATTCTGTGAATGCTCTGTGCCTAAGAAGGTGAATCCGGAAGGAAAGTGGGACAATCTCATCTAAATGATGCACATTGTACTGTGTCTTTTTGTGTATATGGAAAGTTGATATGTTGCTGGCCAGCGAGAAGGTCAACTGCTTCTTCTCTGTAATTCAGTGGAACTTGTGAAATTAGACTTGTAATGCAATCGTGCACATCGTTTCATTAATTGGTCAGCCCTTGTTCAATGTGAAAAAGTTCTATTGTGCAATGCCTTATTTAAAATAAATATATATTGATAATGTCAACACGTAGCGGTTGTTTTATTTTATACCCATCTCGCTCTTCACGACATTAATATGCATCATTCCTCATAATGATTGTATTGCTCAGTGTGCTGTGTGTGATTGTTGCTGTATGGAAGGTTGCATCAGCCCCTTCTGACATTTATTTAAAATAAAGAATCATTAAGGGGTTTACTTGTCACAATATTGCATGACCAATGACTGCATTTTTCCTTCAAACCATCCATCGGAATAAAATCTGTGGGCCTCGACAACAAAGCATTGAATTGTTAAATGGCAGTTTCAATATCCATCTGCAGGATGCAATAAATTTATACTCTTTACGATTTACTCGCTGCACCTGGTGCAATTTTGCATTGCATTGTCTTTGCCTTTTCCATCATTCATCCAGACACATAGTCTACTATGAGCAGTAAAACCTACGGGTTATTTTTTAAAACTTGATTCTGTCATCTTTCCGCACCGGTCAGAGCTGTGTGTTATTTTTCTATGTGTTAGAGCTTGAGGCAAGTTGAAGTTTTTAGGGATCAAACAGAGCCACTCAGCCAAGAAAAAGCCTCTCTGCCTTTGTGATTGCTATATCATTTGACATCTTTGTGTCCGCTTCACATAAAATCAGCTGTTACTTTCTGTGGCGGACTGCCTGTATATTCCTGTCCAGCATTAAAGTCCTGATTCAATCTGCCAAAAGTTCATAAATAATTCAACAAAAAAAAAGATTTTCCCCATGACCAACTAATGATGAATAAGTATTAGCTGATTCTTTGGTGAAACTGCAATCATGGTCCAACAATAGAAGATTAAATCTTGGTAAACATTCATACAAACAACAACTACACAAGCTAGTTGTGAGCATTCGTTCTTTCAGAAAACTCAAGGACAGAAGACACCGAGACAATGTAACATCGGTTTAATTGAAGCCGGGAAAATCACATGCACCGTATCACCATAATGTGAATGTTGGGAGGCGAAATGAAGGACAGTCTTCATTTAGCAGAGAAAGTCAATAATTTTCTGTGCAAGACATTTTAAATATTACTGTCCCTCTCTCTGCAGAAGGTTAATTAAGAGCACGATGCTCAATCAATCCTCGATTGCCTAAATGACGCCGACTTTATCGCGCGTTCTTTCGATATTCACTAGGTCATTTTCAAGCTGCCGCCAGTTGGCTCGGGGCTGCGGCTCAGCTGGAGAAGGTCGGCTTGCGTGCTATCCTGACCACGTTGTACGTGTTCAGTCCCGGCGTGTCAAAGCCGGGGGACAAACCGCGCCTGTCAAACGCGTAGAAATTAAACAGTTGGCCATCTTGGGCTTCCAGGGACACCGAGGCCGTCCCGACTCGCAAAACACAGGGGTACTCTTTCTCGAACACCACTCTGAACACCCGGTCAACCAGGTAGTTGAGTTTTATTGTCCTGTACTTCTCTGGAATGAGCTCCTCAATCTGCGGCCCAAACTGTTGCATGATGAGAACTCCGTCGGACCCGACTTTTATCTCGTAGAAGGTGATGTTGCTGTAAGTGAAAAAGCCTACGTAAGGTTCCGGGTTTGGTGGAGGGGACAGGACCTTATTGCCCTCCCTGAAGGCTTTTTCAATCGCTGGTATGATGTGGTTGTAGGCTTTGGCGACCAAGTCCTGGCCCTGTGGCCGGCTGCCAGCCATGAGCACCACCAGGCCCAGCTTCATTCTGGGAATGAGGGAGAAGGTGGCGGAGTAGCCGTCCAGATCGCCGTCCTTTCGCACCGTCTCGTAGCCCATGAGCTCGTTCACCTCCCACGGCGTGCCCGTGCGGTTGGCGAAGTAGTCCTTGTCGCACCTGAAGAGCGGGGTCAGCATGATCTTCAACGAGTCCGGGTCCAGCATCTTGCGGTGGTACGCGCCCAGCAGCACCATGGCGAGCTTGGCCAGGTCGGCGGCCGTGGAGAACATCTGACCCGAGGGCCGGTACCAGCCCAGGTCGTAGAGCGGGGCCGGCTTTCCGTTGGAGTACACGCCGACGGCCATCTGGCCCTGGAGCCCCGGGGTGACGTCGAAGCCGGTGTCCTCCATCCCCAGGCGGTCCAGGATGTTGTCTGCGATCCACCGCTGGTAGTCGACGGCGGCCACCCGCTCGGCCATCACGTGGGCCAGCAGCGAGAAGGCCAGGTTGCTGTAGTGACATCTGAAAAGAAAGAAAAAACTATCATAATGTAGGGAAAACACCATAAAAAGCACATATTTGTTTAATGCAATCAGCGTTATCTGAATTGGTATTTAACATTCCGCAGCATAGCAGCACTTTGAAGGGGCACATAGCCTGTGAGGAAACACATTCAGGCAAATGCAATCAATCCTGCATTTGAATTCTCGAATCGACTCAGCAGGACAAATCTTACTTTGTGCCGGGGTCTGCGACAAGGACGTCATCTTGCAGCAGATTGATAGCCGTTTGCGTTTTTCCTTTCCAGAGCAGACTCGTAGCGCGGAGTCTCCTGGGAAGGCCTGCAAGGCATTGAGTAACCAAATAAGGCAGCAAATATGACAAGGGATCTGTTGGTGTTGAATCAGGCGTTTACCTCATTTGAACACATCACACAGAGAGTAGAATGTTAGATGTTTGTTAATGCAAAATGATTGTTGAAGGGTTTGCTGTGACATTACGGATGTAACGGTTTACTTGTGATGACAAACTGAATACAGTCTTGACATAACTACAATATTTATTTTGAATCTTTTTGTGATCGTACCTCTGTCGTTGCTCATATTCTTAACCAAGTACAACTTGTGATTGTTTGGTGTAATATGAAATGTCAGAAGATGAGAAAAAAAGAACAATGATGACCTACCTCACCCAGGTAATATGCTCTAATTACTGATTTGTTAGAAATGTTTGAGGTTTTGGCTGAAATATTTAGCTCATCACATTTGTTGCATAAAAACAGAATAAGTAACAAATTATTAGATTTGTTGTTCCAGCGATTAAACCAATAACTACAAAGTAAAAAGTGTAATCTTCAGAAATAAGAAGGAACTTCGAGCTGAATGTTGACATTCAAAACATATTCTGATCGGAGAAAACCTCTATACTTTTAATTAGGTGTTTGTTATACAGGCCCCCTCCCGTGGGTTTAACTGCCCCACCTGTAGATCTCACAGCCCGCGTCTCGGATTAGATGTACCGCATCACAGCAGTCAGCCGTCCTGCACCTGAAGCTGCTCTCTCTAAACTGTACCTGACAGCTGGCTGGCCATCCTGCGCAGGGTGACGGAGGACGAGCGGACCTGAACCTCGCCGCTGTCCAGAAATATCAGGCCATCCGTCACGTATTTCAGCTCAGAGTCTCGCGTCTTCCCCAGAGGGTTTTTAATGGTGAAGTTCTCCAGATATTTCTCCAGGGGGTCGTCCAGGGAGCCGATCTTTCCGTCCTCCCACAGTTTGTACAGCATCAAGGTCGGGAAGATTTTTGACAGGCTTGCGATTCTGAAGGACAGAAGAGCAGAGCAGTGTGATTTTTTTTTGTATTTTTTATCAGACAGAAAATACCTCATGAGTGTTTTAAAAAATGAGTCTATAAGAAAATGCCTCTGAGTTCATGGTGTTAATCGCGGGCTTTCAGGTCTCAATACGATGATGTTGCCATGGTGACAACCTGTACAAACTCTCACAGTACCGGTCAAAGGTTTGGAGACGCATGTGCTGTTCGGTCCGTGACAGCTCATGAAATATTGTGCAAAAGAAAGAAACTGCAGAAAACGTAAAAGCTCAAAATAAGCTACGGTATATTATTATTTTAAAGAGTCCTTATATTATAATAATCCTTTTTTTTTAAGATTTGGCTTTAATAAATAAACTTACTTCGGTATTGTTAATAAGATAACTGTAAATATTTTTAAATATGTTAAATGTGAACCACATAAGCCAATTTTAAGTCAAATATTTCAATGGCCCAAGGGTGTCGTGTTGATGTTAATTCTACTGGTTATTTATGTGACCTAAGTTAACTTCTTTACATGGAAAGCCATCTTATGTGACAATATCTCAATGTTGACTTTTTTTTTCACGAGAGACAAAAGCACCTGTCATCTCTGTTAAAGTCATGAGTTCATTTCACTTTTCCATCGTCCATCCCTCCTTTGTTCCCGTCATACGGCCACTAAAGGCCGCTGATTAAAAAGAAAAAGAGTAAAAAGAGTGCAAAAGAGAGAGGAGAGTCTCTGGAAACAGTCAAATCAATGTGCGCACAGGTTTTGAGGCAACTCATTTTGGAGAAATTTAATCCTCCTTTCCTCGTCTGCATGCTGCAGTAAGAAAGAGTCAGAGTCAGAACATCCGAAGGCACTTAAGTACCACTCAGCGAGGGAACACGCTGGTTAATCTCCTGCTGCTCAGACGGAAATTTCTACAATCTAAGATAATAACCCCTTTAGCAGGTCATCACGCTTTTCATGCCAATGAGTTTGAAGATTTCTTCTGATAAAAGCCAGAATCGCAGTCTCTCGGCTCAGGTACTAAAAGTCGCTACGTCTCGGGCCTCTGCCGCATCAATTTGCCGCAATCTGTTTTTACCAAAGCCTTCAACTTTATGGGAATGCGACATCAAGTGTCAGCGTTTCATGGTGTGACAGTCGGCCAGCGTCACAGCTGCAGCTGTTAATCCCTGTGCGCAGCTTATCCACTTTTCATGTCTCTTGATTGCGCCAGAATTGTGATAACCTACAGGAACTGAGATCCTCATCGAAATGTTAAAAAAATAAAAAAAAACTGCGGTTTTGCTACAGAGATCCGATCGAAATCTGTTAAAACTACCCATATTTCTAGCATTGGGATTACGCTTATCTCTTATCAGAGAGCTCCACTTAAGGAGCATATGGATTTCATTCAGACTGGTTAGCGTGTCGGCTGTCGCCCGGCAGCATTATTTCAATCCATTGAACTAGTGAAAAACTGGTCAATCTGTGTGATGCTGCCAGCTTTCTTCCCTTGGAAGGCGGATTGTTGTGTCGCATTTCCTTCCTGCGCTGCAGCACACTAGTGGCTTTTTTGGAGTAATCACCAGACATGCAGGAGAAAAGGATCTACGTCATTCTGCAACATCCATCAGCCAGAAGCTTCCATGCGGATGTATGTCCCGGGCTTATGTGGCCCTTTACGATGAATTCAACTGATGTAATGATGCTCATCCCATAATGAAAACCCACTGATACAAAATGTAAGAGAGAATGAGCAGTAACAATGGAAGAAGCGCCACATCATGCTTTTTATTAATTTCTTCAGAACTAAACGTAAAGGGCCTTGTGATGTGACACCAAATGGGGAAATACATGTGCTGAGAGATTTAAATTCATTATTATTATTCTATGCAACAAAAAAAAACTGATTAGGAATAGAAAACAGTTAACGTGCCTTTTGATGTTAGTATTTTTGGGACTTGGTTTCATCGCTCACCTGTAAATCGTGTACTCGTTCGGGGGTCCCGAGAGGGGGTCGCTGCCGTTCCTTTTTCCGAAGTTGCCGGTCCACAGAACGGTGTCGTTTAGGATCACGATGGCCGACAGAGAGGGGAGGCTGATGGGATTGACGCTCTGCCGAAGCACCAGGTCCACCTGTAGGGGGCGCAGCACCACGGGAGGACTTTCAGAAAAATGTCTCGCCTTTAGATGAAGATGATGGAAGTTTGTGAAGAACACCTGCAGGAAGACAGGCCCGCTCTGCCTCTCTCTTGGAGCTAAACTAAGCTAAGCTAAGCTAAGCTAATGGACTGTTGCCACGTGTTTAGGATGCATGTTATAAGAATGAAAATGTAATAATGAAGTTCCACTGGATATCAATGCAACTTGAATGCATTTGCACGTTCTTGATTACCGAGAGCATCGTAGGACCCCCTTTGAGAAAACAATGAGGGAAAACTATAACACCTTGCGGCATTGACATTTTACTCTCCTCTAGTCTACAACAACTACACCAGCCGAATACACCACATGCTCCATCAGCAACTCTTCCCCACTGTTTTACGTTCTGGCTTCTTCCAATAATTGTGGAGTTTACGGCGCGTCTCAGAGGGGTTCTTAGCAGTTCCATGGAGTCTCCAGTCCACTCAGATGATTTAATTTAGATAATTTTTCAAATTAGAGAAGAGCTGATACAAAACTTTATCTTGTGAGTCTTTTATGGGGACACGACCTGAATGAAAAAAGCCAAACTGTATGGAAACAATACTTGAAATTAGCTTCAGCTCGACCAAAAAAAATATCCCTATTAGGAATTGACAATCCATCAACATCAGTCACGTGACTTTGACTTTTAATGCATTAAGTAAACTTCATTCAGATAATATTCCTGTGGTTTTTACCGAGTGGGATTTTAAACGTATGATCTGATGTTGTGATATTTCTGCTTTTATGTATCTGACAAAGCTTCGTCCTGCAGGAGTGACGGTTCTTCAGTGGTGTGACACATGGAGCCACGTGTCGGTTGCTCGATGCTTTGACGTGTTGAAGCCTGCACGTATTGATTTACAAAAGGCGCCTCGCAGTCCAAAAATCCAGACTTTCTTCACCTGTTTCTTCACTGCACACATTCGCGCCCTCGACCTGCACCCACAGCTCCTTGTTCTAAGCTTCTCTTATTGTTTGCCGCTGAGGTGTCATCGTGATCGTACACGTGGATGATAAACTGGGAACATTGCTGCTCCGTGCGCCTCGCTTTTCATACACTACTTCCTTAATCTCCTTCTGTCAACTGCAACGGCCTTTGGCGTGAAGGATTACCGCGGTCGGCCTGCCTGCACATTCCCTGCGACTCGTGCGGTCGTGAGAGAAATACCATTTTAGTTTTAATGGACGTTTCCATAACAGCTGCGGCAAACTTGAAGACCTCGCATTCACTGCACCGTATTGTCCGCTGTGGTGACATGAGACCTGGACCTCACCTTCTCCAGGGCCTCTTTCAGGCCGGGGATAGGGTGCTCCAGCTGCAGCGGCTCCGGGTGGCGAGGACACATCATCTCTGCATTGGCATTTCGACCCATCCCTTCGTCTGGCAGGAAATGAGAAAAGAGAAGGCAAGATGGGGAGAGGCCAGTGAAATTCCCACTTGATATTTGATAGAATAATGTATTGGCGGCACAAAGGCCAGTGCAGCGCAGAATAATTGGCAGGGTTGGGGGCTTCATCAATTCTCTCTGCTTCCTGATGATCCCCCGTGGATCTCACAGGATGAGATTTAGAAGATATGATGGACGCTGCCTGTTGCCACTGGTGACTGTGGATGAACAACAGGACGTATCCACATGTTTCGTTGTGGCTTCAGAGCATGATTCGTATTTAGAGAACTGCTGTCTCTGGAGCTGTGCATTTCCCATGAATAATATCACCTCACGTTTACTTTACTCATTTACATCTATATATCGAGATTATAAACCTGAAAAATATTTTGTGGACTAAAAACCTTTGGTTAAGAAAAAAACAATCAACCCGTAATTCTCAAAGCAGTTCCAGTTGCAATCCGTCAGGGTCACGCCGAAGTAATTTGCTTTTAATTACAATCTCTGACTGACTCGGGTAAAGCTTGTCCGTCCACAGATGAGGACCATTTGCATCAATAAAGCAAGAATATTCCTGCCAGCTTTTTGCCCAATTTAAAAAAAAAATATTTCACAAGATGAGGCCCTCACTGAGAGTCATCTTTAGACTGGTAGGTTTAAATGTCTGCAATTATTGGGCTACGCTCATCTGTTCCGTATTGTTCATTTTCCAAAAGCTTTTAAAATTGCCAAGTTGAGTCCAATTGCAGTTTTATAAAAAACAACCCTCTATTTAGAAAGGTGGTTAGAATCGAAATGCCACAAGAGTACAAATGGTAGTAAGCATTAGATTTAGAGTGAGTCCTTGGACAGAATACTTCAATCTGCAACAATCACCATTTTTCACACGTGAGCCGTCTTTTTTAAACTAACACGTGCAGATCTTTAGAAAAGGAGATGGTTTCATTGATTGATCTACGTACATCCCCTTAATTACGAGAGAAAGATCTCTTGGTTGTGAACGTTGCGTCGGATCAGACTAAAAGGAGCATCCGCAGTTTTAGCTCCCGGCTAACGGCGATGATTCAGGGTTGGATGTCATTGATAAGGAAGACTCATCGGATGTCGACGTGTTTCAGGTTTTACAGAACAAAATAAGAATACAAAACAGTCATTATGAGTGTGTCTTCACACAGCTCAACGATTGTTGGTCCAACACCCGTCACCAAAAGCCTTCACGCTCACCTGGCAAAAGTTTCGGCAGCTGATATTGCCAGAAGAAGCATCCCGTCATGACCAGCGACAGAGCGAGGAAGAACACCAAACCCAGCTGGGTCCATTTCACCTTCATCTTGTTGGTTTTGGTGAGCCCTTCGAATTTAACGGCGGCAGGAGCGGCCTCAGTGGGAGTTGGCTTGAACACAAACAAACATGCACACAAAAACGCACAGCAACACACCACAGGGGGGGTTAGAAGCGTGTGGTTTGCTGTTGATTCAAGTATTAAAAAACAAAAGAATAAATAAATCTCCTTGTCCCCCGTTGCACTTATTGTTACTCACCACCCGGGCAGGAAGGAGCGGATTACCAGCGACACGGGAATCTTCTTACCGCTCACTGAGCACACTAAGCGTTTGTTCTACAACTGTAAACGATCCCTGCAGCCCGAAGGCGGCACGCGGCGTCCCGGGAAGGTTTCCCCGCCGCGCTCCCATTTCTCATCTACCGCCGTCTCCTCTGTAATCCTCGGGCCATTGGCGATCTCGTCCCCACTTCGCGATTCAATTTCTTCTCCTGCAGCCGCAGGCCGTTGACATCATAATCCCCCCCCCCCCCCAGATTTACTCCACCAAAGCGCCCGGGGAAGTCATAATCCCTAATCCCTGTGAATCAATTCACTTCAGCCCAGCAACCCCCCCTCTGCCCCATCCCCCCCCCCCCCATCCCTCCCCCCTCGAGCCCGCTCGGGCGGCCCAACGACAAAGATGGCGCGGGCAGCACGAGGCGCAAATGGGGCCGCGATACGTCGTGCCTTTTAGCCGCAGCGTGAGCCGGGAATTACGATCACTTGGGGCGAGTGGGGATCAACCGGGAGTTTGGGATGTTGAGGGTATTTTGGATAATGACCGGGGATGAGACGCACTGCTGTAAACAACTTGTTTACTCGCCCACCGAACAGACTGCACTCAAACACAAGAGTCCGAGAGGGGGTGGGGGGGTGGGGGAGGGGTGGCGTGCTGGACTGTGACGTGTTTAATTGACAGCTGAGACTCATACAAGTCCCCTGAAAGGCCCGAAATGTAGATAAAAAAGCACCGCAAATAATAAAGCTGGTTTGTATCCGACTGTTGTTTCATTGAATGATGATATTTAAGCTGATGTCTTTCATTTCATTTTACTTCTACTGGTCACAATAACCTCAGAACGTCTCTCTGAGTCGCTGTTGTGTTCTCATATAGAGATGTATGTACTTTGGATTATTCAATCACACAACAGAAATACTCTTTTGTATATTCCTTGTTACTATATGTGTTTTTAGGGAGGACGTGTAACAGAATGAAAGCACACATTTTTGTGTGCTTTCATCCTTTGTGTGTGTGTGTGTGTGTGTGTGTGAGGTGGTTCACCTGGGCTTGAACCCCGTCCACTGGGACCTCTCGCGGGACTTTACTCCCCGCCTTCCCCATGGTTTTGCTGCAGCGTGACACAAAAAAAAGAAAGATAAAACCAATTTGAGTTATTTCTTCCATTTCATTTCGCTGATTTGCTTCTTTTTGAACCATTACTCTGAGACGACAGGTTCATTTTCATAGAAATGTGTCCTTCATGCGTGTGGGGACATCGCTCTCTGTACAGAAGGCGTGGAAGCGAAGCAGGAGGAGGTGGGAGCGACGGGAAGCCGACGCCTCATCCTCCACACTTTTTTGATTTTTGAAAAGAACTGGGAAACGTTTTCTTCTCGTCACGGCGTGATGGCTTCGCTCCACAGGCCTGTCGCCGCAGCAACGCGTGCCTGTTTCCCCCCTTTTACTCTTTGATTGCACCATAAAAAGAAGCTTCTTTCCTTCAACTTCCATTTTATATGGTTGCAACTTATTTCTTTCTTCATCCGAAACGTCCAGTTGTGCGCTGTTTGTTCTCTTCGGCCTTGTTGTGTACATTATCAGCGGAACCGCAGGCCGAGCGACTACAACAATAAACAGGATGTTACCTCACGTCGCACGCGGCTTTTTTAAATGAACCTTAATGTCGATGTTAAACAGCGCATTCAGAAATGGCGTTTCATATAATTTGGTGATTGCGAGGCTTGGTGTCGTTCCTTTACAGGGATATAATAATTAAAATCTTCCTGATGGACTTCATGTTTTAATGTATTTCATATTAAAACTATGTTGCAATGAAGGTTCAAGACTGTGGTTGTTGTTCAAGTGTGACGACGGAAAGTTCATGTAGCACAAAGTTAGTTTTTCCATTAAAGGCAGATTTGGGGTTTTTAATTTAATGAAGCTGCTTTATTTTAGGGCTTTTTGCAGAGGTCGGTCTTTTAAACTCTCGGGATGAGAGAAGTGTAGAAGGTCAGAGAAAGGTCAGAGTCGACAAATCGGTTCTACATGTATACCAAGTTATACATTGAAAATCTATGCAAATCTGAAGGTCTAAAAGGAGAGACACAGATTACATTTGGTGCATTATAGAATCTTATTTTCTTCTTTTGTTGGATGGAGTGAAACGTCCTCTGTGCTTTCATCTCAGAAAAAAGTTGCTTGGGTATAAAGGAAATATAAACCGGCCTTGAGGATTTTGCTGCTTGTTTGAAGAGAATTTACGCTCTCTGGTTTGTTGTTTATTGTATTTTCCCTGTGAACTTTTATTCATTTTTCATAAATCAACACAACGGCTAATTCATCATTAATCTCAGGTAATGAAAACATCAGACTGCCTTGTTATTATGCCTAATATAACATACTGATACTAATGCATTCTGCCTCTTCGGCAGCCATTGTTTGCCAATTGTTTTAATTATAAAAGATGAAATAACACTTAATTTGCCTTTCTGTGTTCTTGAGCTACTTTCTCTTCTGTTTGCATCAGAGGCCCAGATTCCCATCATTCCAATTCAACTTCCCCGGGCATTAGATTTAAAATCACAATCTCTTCCGATTGATTATATTAACGAACAGATCTATTTAATTGCATACCATTTAATCATCATCTGCATGCTGCAAAGATTGTGTGAGTGATCCCGATATGAATACCTGTCGTCATCTAAACCTTTTGAGTTTAGCAAAATGCACCTTCACTCACACATTTCCCCCGGATTTAATTACGCAGTTAAAACCCTTAGCTGAATTAAAAATGATCTGTAAAGTGAGCTAATCTCATAAGGGGTATATCGTGATGAAAAATGATACTATTTAACATGTTTGTAATTACCCTGTCACTTAATAACCTCCAGCCACAAGAGGGAGAGATTGAATTAAGAAATTGAAACATGCGTTTGCTGCACTCAGGCCGATAAACCTGCTGAAATAGACACGGTAAGCAAACTGCTGATAGTCTCACAGCCCTCACGTACGATCACCTCCCATCTGTACGCGTTTGTGTTTCATAGTTTACAAGAAAAAGCAGAACATTTGTGAGCGGCCTCAAAGGCATCAAGGCTGAGGAAAAAACACGTTACATAAGCCGCCCTGAACCAAGCGCCTCTTTTCAAGGCCGCGGAGCGTCCTGCAACGCAGCGGTTCCCCCCTCAGACACTTACCTCAGCCTCCCGATCTATTGGCAGCTCCTCCTTTTTTATATCAGGACGATAAAAGACAACGAATATTCCGCTTTGCTCCGTCTGCGTTTGGGAGCTGGAAGGAGGATCCCGACAGATGTCGGTATCATGGTTATGGCAAATCCTGCTTGTGTCCAGCCCAGCGTTCTGGATTAACCACCCCAGCCAATGGACACATCTGCCACGGCACAGACGTGAGTGCTCGCTCAGTGTGTGTTTGTGTGTGTGTGTGTGTGTGTGTGTTCACATTTCATGGCCTGAGTTTAAGGACGACAAAGAAAAAGGCAACTGTTGCTGAAATAGCACACGGCCCATTAATGAGGTTATGTGTCTTGAGTTAGAAGGTGTTATATAGAAATATAAAATGTAAAAACCAACTAACAGAAAAAAACGACAACATCCTGTCAATCATGACGGTTGCTCAGAATCAGGAGCCCCTTAATGCCACATATGTAACACATAGAGGCATTTGTCTTGATGATTGGTGCTATCAAAAGAATAAAATAGAATAAAAAGTGACATTAAACTTCCTAGAAAATGGGCATAAATACAGAGAACGCGTTGGTGGACACACAAATCAAACTCTGATGTGACCCCGCACATGGCTGCCGTAACGCACATGTGTGTACGCTTAATGGCGTGCTTTGTCTGTGGTCACTGGGGCCTTTGATAGCAGCGTCCACTGGGGCCTTTCGAGGATGTCTCTACGCCGCCGCTCGCCCTGCTTCTAAGAAGCACATTTGTTGGAGTCGTTTTATTTGGAACACACTGCACAACAACCAGAAGGAGGTGAATCTAAAAAGGCGCTGGATCCAGACCCCTCTCTCTCTCTCTCTCTCATTCTCTGTCTCTCTCTCTCTGACGACGCCTGACCAATGTTCTCGTTTGGTGGAGATCAGGAACATGGGAAAACATCCACCGGTTGCTCATAAGCATTTAGATAGAAACCGATGCACACAGATAAGTGCCCAGGCGGCTCGGTCGCCCGTGACGACGGCGATGGCACGAAGGAGGAAGACACTTTGGATCTGTTCAATTTTAAAATAATCATGTCCTCGTGGAGAAGGGCGGCCGAGGCGTTTGTGAATAAATATGTAGGCGGCTGATTTTGAGAGCGAGTGGCTGTTTGCTCGGGTCGGAAGGTGCAGCGCTCGATGGGCCTCTGATCAAACACGAGACATTCGCTTCTTCATTCATTACAACATCAGACGCGCACGATTCCTTCACCTCGCTAAATCTTTTTGAGCAAAGACAAAAAGGACTTGAGAATATTCATATCAATATGTATTTACTATTGTATTTACTCTCATGTTTTTCATGCTTTCCCTCGGATTGCCATCCTTATCAATATATATATGTATTCACAGCAGCCAGAAAAGTTAACACATTCTTTTATATAAATAAAAAGTGGGAAACAACTTGTAAATTCAAGAATTAAAAATTGACCTACAAATTATCCCCTTTGCCACCTTTTAAAAAATGTTTCTCCAAAAGATCCCTTAATTCATTTTAAATGTATTAAATGCAATGTGTATGATCGCTTTTTCAAGCACATTACTTCTATTCATTCATTCAAGTGTATGTTTGGGTACGGTGAGTCAGGGGCCATCGTTCACAAAGTGTTTGGCATCGCAGAGCCAATGGGAGCCTGTCGGGACAGAAAGAAGTATTTATTCATTGGTAAGCGGGACATGATTAAAACAAATGTGTGTAGTCGTATCAGTTGTTTTTTGCAGCAGCAGCAGCATTACGGAGCTAAGAAAGCTTTGGAGTGGTGGACAGGGGATTTCTGTCCACATTAATGATCCAACATAAGATTCTCCACCTTAACATGTTACAGATTATACATGTGACACGATACATTTACACACAACGCACACCGCACAATCAGTGTTGCTTTAAGTCAGTTAGTCTTCACCACTACGAGGAGTAACATGATAGCAGTGCTATTTTATAAACAACAGCAGAGTTTGAGCTCACTGCTCAGCTGCCCACCTTCACCCAGAGGAGGCTGGAAGAACATCATGTCTGGAGCTTCTCGGGCACACAGAGGTTACACCGCCCTCCAGTGGACAATGTGGAAACTACGGCTTTGTATGTGTGGCGCTTTAAGAGGAAATGTTAATTAAAGTCAAATCTTACTGCCATCGGATGGTCCTGTTGTAATCATACCATGTTTGTTTGTCTAAAAGGTTTGAGAAGATGACTGAAGTGAGGAAGCTTGAATGATGCGGTTTCTTGATGCGCTTCAAAGGGAAAGTCAGACGGAGAAGATTACTCAAAGAGCTAATTGATTGATTTGGGTTCTTATTGTGCACGCAGATACTTCCCTTGTCTTGATTACATCAATAGTTTATGCCATCAGGATACTTTTTATAAATAATTTTCATTCTAACCTTTAACTGGTAAAAAAAAAAGGTCATTGATTATGTAACACAAAGAAGTTTGATTCCGATCTCAAAATAAACTAAAATGACGGCACGTGCGTGTTCAGCCTGGAATATTACATTTACTCTGAAACATTGGGGATTATAGAAGGAACACAAAAACAAATCAGAGGAATGGAAGCAGAAATTCATTCATTTTGTCATGGAAGCAGATTTGTCAAAAAACAAGTGAGTGGATTATTTTAAATTACTTCGCATCCTGTGAAGGAGCCTTCAAGACGTTCAGATCCGGGAATAAAAAGTATATAGAAAATAATACCCAAGATTGTACATGCTGTTTCTGACGTTGTCATGGTAACGTGATATGTTGCATTGAATCTCTGTCCCGCTCTCAAGTTTATTTATTGTCGCTCACTCAATCATGACGTCATTAAATCCCAGTTAAATATGTTCCCTTTGCGATGTAATCCACAAACCGGTTTTATACGTAGCGCACAAACCAATGAAGTTACATCTCGTTTAAAGCTGTTGTTGAGTTATTACTTTTCTAACTTAATTATCATTTATTAAAAAAAAATATATATATATATATTTTAAAAAATATATATTTTTCTATATATATATTTTTTTTCTCAAGCACTTTGCGTGTGGAAATCATTAATATGACTACCATTACACTAGGGACAAACATGCTGAATGCTCAAGGCCAGTGGTTTCTTGTGATTTATATAGCAGGCTAATGTATTGTAATGTATTGAGTAAAAGACGTCTATCTCAACGAGGCCGAGGTCATCATCAGATCATCGTGTCAAACCAGATGAACCACAGAGTGACGTGTTCTGACAGAATCCCGTTAATGAAGCGAGAAGCTCATTAAAAAGCCACCGAGTGTCACATCGCTGAAACTTTAACGAAGAGGCCGATAAAATCTTTCCGTGTGGTGACGTGTGTTCTCCACTAGGTGGCAACAGTGCTCCACTTCCTCACAGACCACAACAGAGCATCTCTCAGAGGAGTTTCAAGAGGCTCAATACCTGCGAAGGGAGCGAGTGATTGAATACCATGTGACAGAACGCATGGGGGAGGCCCTATAATGAGGCCGTGCACTGTCTGTTGGGGAGGATAATAAGTGGCTTGTGTTGCTTCTCCGCCTCCACAGGCTTGTTTTTTTGTTTTGTTTGTTGCGCTGTTTGTTTGCAGTCTTCCCAGCCGTTGCCACCAACACAAAACCCACAAGACTTTCCATCTCTGGTACAAAATTGCAATCAAGTCGGGACCTTGGGGGGGGGCGGCGTCTCGGCCTGTGATGTTCTGCGGATGGCAACGAACTGCTGTGCTGCCTGCCAGCGTGTCAGGAGCATTGGAGAGGGAAAAGTGGGGAATTAACCGGTGCCAGTTGCCAGAACGCTCACGCTTCAATTGTAGCTAACCAGCCTTGAAGGTTCAAAGCCGGGCTAAATAGTGACTCGGACCAGGTGAGTTCCAAAACAACAGTACTACAATGAATCTATTGATCATCGTGTGACATGACGAACAAGATGTTTTCTTTTTTTTAAAGCCACAGGCAGACTGGTGGGGGTCTTCTTCCCCTTTTTCGATAGTCGGATGCTGATTCGACTTGAAATGTAACGTCATGTTCTCGGCCGTGAACCGTTGGGTTCCTAGAAACGGAGCTCCTGCAGATGGACCGCGCGCTCTCTCCCCATTAAAAAACACATTGCGCCCTGAAGTTATCTTTAGCACAATAAAGTGCTCGTTGCCGGGCTAAACTGCTAAAAATTCATTTCAAAATATGAAATAAAATGTTCACCTCGTGTAACTTCTATCGCTATCTCTGCCAGGAGAACGATGTGGTTGCTCTCGTGTTGCCTGTGAGTGACGCAGCGCCTCTGTGTCCGTCCACGGCTGATCTGACGTTCGGCTGCAGCGGACTGCAGGACACGCTGGCCCGGTTTTATGGTCAAGGACCTCTCCTTCATGGACTAACACTTTCTCTGCAAAACTTTAATTGCCTGTTTCAGGCGGACAATGGCGGCCCGCTGAGCCGTCGCCCATGCACTGCACTCAGCTGCCCCCCCCGGCCGGTAGGGGCCGCTGGTGGTAACACAGCTGAGTGCATCACCACCAACCACCTTTCCCGTTTCCCCCTTTTTAAAATGCCTTTGCAAGAAAGCTGCACTGCTGGTTCAGTTGTGCGTGTGTGTACATGCCAAAGAAGTAGTGTTTTTTGTTTAAATTTGGTCGGAAGGCGCAAACGTAAAATTTGGCTGGAACGTCGGACACGTACTTGTAAACAGAGAGTGATTTGAGACGCGGCCTTTTAAGCGCACTCGTTCTCTGAATAGACCCTGACCTCGGTCGTGGTGTCACGTAGTAACGCTTCACCACAATGGCTCCGTCTTAAGACCTTCAGAAGCCACTCGACGTCAGACCCTCAGACCAAGCACTGATTTTCTAAAGGCCCGAGAGTCCCCGTCCTCTCCACCGCTCTCTGGCGAGCGGGTGGCAAGTCTCGCACACATGCGTCCGCAGACAAGAGGCGGCCCGACGCAGCGCGAGTGCGGCATTGAATAATCAGCCATTATCTTTGTTCTGCTCCGCGCAGCCGGTCGCTGATTTGTGTGAATCCTCCTTTTCCGTGGTGACCTCTGACCTATTTTCACTCCGGAGCACAGAGGAGGGCATCTGGACGCAGCGTTCCCACTAAGAGCGACTCAAACATCTATGTAGGTCAGCAAAGTGCCCTCAGTGTCACTTGTGCAAACCACAAAACAGATTGAGAATGTGTGCATGTGTGTTTGAGCAGTGAATGTGTGTGTGGTTTACTATAAGAGGGGAAATATCTAACCGGAGGGTCGATGTGCATTTCACGGGATGTCACTGCACGGGGGAAAATACTGTCGGGTGCAATGCATCCGTAATGCATGTTTACATACATATGGTTTGTAAAATTCTCTGCATTCATTTTCGTGCTAATAAACGTTTTTTAGTATTACTGGAAGCTTCATTAGGGCGACATATGTATAAAGATGGAAATTATCACAATGTGTTTTTTTGCTTACTGAAACTATTTTCCCATACTGTCTAATGTAGCATGTAGCTCACTTTTTACAATATTTGTCGTTTTAAAACACTCCTGTTTTTACTTAACATTAAGATATTATACATTTCAACCAGAAACAAATATCAAACGTCTTTGTCTCCTTAAGTCCTTTCACTTTCTTCAGGTAGTGTAAGACCTTCATGTTCAACCTTGTTTTACACATCATTTCATTTCTCAGAGAAGACATTTTAACTTAGTGTATTAACTCAGCTCAGCCCTCACCTTTTATTAATACTCTGCTTTTCTATGTGACCAAAAAATTGCTTATAAAAATTCAATAGAATTTAAAAAACAATCAAATACATAAAAGGTTTCAAATAATTTATTTCTAATATATATATATATATACAATGACAAAATGACAATTTTACAATGACCAAGTCATCAAGTTAAATCTCCGTGGATACTAATCTTATTTATTTAAAAACCTCTGTGGGAAGTTTAAATAATGAAATCACTCTGAATATTCTACAATTTTTAGTTTTAGGTCATTATACACTGATTAAAACATTTTATTATTCTGCTAATTAATCCCCCTAAATGTAACACACTCTTCCTTTAACTTATCCTGTCACTTGTCTTGTGACCCCTCTGATTTATTTTGCGACCCATGTGGGGGTCCTGACCCCCATGTTGGGAACCACAGATCTTCGCTGCACAAGCTGTTCAAATAGTTAAAAATGGGGGAAGTTTCAGGAAATTTGCAGTAACTGAAGAGAAAACGCTGTGTGGAGCTGCAGGACGTGGCGTTGATCCTCACATCCTTAAATTCCCTCACGTGGACTCAGTGTCAGTCCAAATGACCCCCCAATGACCCCCCCGCCCCCCCCCAATGTCACCCTGCGCTTTCACACTTTTCACACTCGATTGCGATCCCCACAGCTCCGTTATTCTCTCCCATCGACCCGCCGCGTCAGCGGACGCCCCTCGTTGCTCGGTCCCCTGCGCAGAAGATGCGTCGGGTTCATGCAGTTTGACACAGATTCAGCAGGCAGCGGGCCCTGCAGGGGCCGGGAGCGTCGAAGCCTCCATGCTTCAGCTAACATCGCAGAGTTCAAGGGGGGGCAAACTCTACATGACCCCCGCGTGACTCTCCCGATCCAGCCCGCCGGGGGCTTATGGTGAGGGTCGAGGCTGCGGAGGCACCAGCTCTTCACCGTGGACGGTTATTTTTGCATCTGGTCACTTTTGTATGGCAGATAAGTGAAACAATGATGTGTATTTCTTTTCTTTAAATTTGTTAATTTTAGGTGAAAAATTATATTACTATGTTCATCCTTTGAAATGGCATTTTATGTCTCCCTTATATCCCAGCTTGCTAATTTAACTGAATCACACACTAAACCTCAGATAAGTATATATCAACCGATACGGTAAATAATACTGACGCATAAATACACTGTGAAATATTCTCACCACACGCTTGAATATGAACTCACAAACAACCGCGTCACCGTGCACACTCACATCAGGAGGCACCTGGGACTGAGAAGTGACAGGTGAGGACATGAAGACCTGCAGATCCTCTCACACTCTCCTCCCGTCTCCTGCATCACACCAGTGCTGGTCCCTCGTCTGCAGGTCCTCACTCAGAGCCAAGGAGGCCCATCGCGTCCCCCCGGGGAGGGGGGGTCAAGGAATGGCAGCGCGTTGACAGCGATCGATCTCAGTGTCGGCAGCTTCGCCGACTTCATGCGTGGGAGAGTCGCCGACTGGGGAGCCACTTATGGCGCTAACGTGGGAAATCCCATCGTAGCATCTGCTGCTGTAGCAAAGAAGATGTTAAAAATCACACAAAGGCTCTCATGACCGGGTTTTTACTATATTTTAATAGCAATTATTGCAACAATACACACATTATAATTCATACCACCTTATTATATATATATATATATATATTGTTATGTTATACAGAGAGAGTTTCCATGAATCCAACAACAGGCACCACTGTTCGATAAATGTTAATAATCGGGCTCGAGGTGGAATTCTACGTGATAGTTTTTTTCACTTACATCAAAGCGTCACATATGTTACACACAGCGGAAAAACGTCCCGCTGGATTACAGACTGCTGTCATGTCTGAAACCGCGTTTCCTCGCTGCGTCCTGGGACCTCCTTCCTCTCAATAATGCATGAATTTGGTGTGTTTGTGTGTCCTGGTGTGAACACCCCGACCCTTTTGTGTGAATCAGTAAATTCATTACCCTCCCAGCTTTATACGTGTGTGTATCTACGGTCTGCTTTCATGCATAGCATTTATGTTTGCATTACTCATCAAACTGCGAGTATTTGACCTTCTTAGCTTACCTCGTGATTCTGACTTTTCATCTTTCGGACGGCATGTACCTCATTGCTTCTCGTGTTAATGAACTGTAGATGCCGATGTGTCTTCCATTAGGGGGGCCTGCAGGAGCGTGCTGAGCGTGATGGGCTTTTAAAGGTGGTGCAGTGGTGCCGGGAGGATCACTCCAGCACCCTGGGAGGGGAGTTGAAGTGCGGTGCTACTCATTGGTCGACCCTCTCGCCTCTCCTCCGCTCCTTCTCCCCGGATCGCTGTCTCTATCCGGGCCAGCATCCTGAAAAGGAGCGCACTCTCATGTTCCAGATATTAAATTACTCATGAAATATTTGCTTGGCCTCCAGGGTCGGCTGCAGCTTGCTCCAAAAACCTCTACTTAGCCCCTGAAACGTCTCGGAGTGCAGGCTTGTGTCACCTCTACGAGGAAGGTCAATTTTTCCAATTTAGAAGCAGGGCATTAGAGGCCATTTCAGATTGCATTAGCCTCACGGTTCGGCTCTTGTCACCTCTTTTCCTCCTTCTTTCCCAGCGCACCGCCCTTCCTTGAGATTAGACGGGGAATGCCGCTTTCCCAGAGCAAGCGGTCTGAGAGGTTGAACATTGCATGATTCAGTAACATGAAGAGGTCTGATCACTCACGCTGGGTGCACTTGACTGTAGCAGAAAGTCCCATCGAGCTCGTTGAACCTTGAAGACATTTTAAAGATACAGCCGCGGAGTTCGGAAGGGCAACGCGACATGACTGGACCTGATGGCCATTGGTTATAAACCCATATTTAATTAATTCAATTTAATTAATTCAACATTTTTGGTAGAATCTGTGGTATGAATAGAGGGATCATTTAACAGTCTGGTCAGCACAGCTGAGCCAGTTAAAATTACATTTGTAAAAGGAAATAAAAGCTAATTGCAGGTTACATCCACATTTAAGACATATCATAAAAAATACAGAAATTAAGGTTTGAAACAAATAGTAAAAGTAAATTCCAATTACTTCATGAGTAAGTTGGTGAAAAACTGTGTTAATAATTACAGAAACAATTACAGCTTACCACTAAAACAATTTCACCATTCATTACATATTTTTCAGCACAATAACTAACATTTAAATTTTAAAAATTTGACCTTCAAAGCACAATAGTATTCACAAAATTGCAACAATATTTCTAAGAACCACACTTTGCTAACACATGTTGTGTTAATCATTTGGGACAACAGTCATCTTTACAAATGCGTCTGAAGCCACTAGTGTGTGAATGAGATTATCCCCACAGAGCGATGTCCTCTTTATCCAAATAAATTTAAATTAGTGTTGCTAGGCTACATCAGCCAAATGAAAACAACTGAGGCGTTAACGCTGGAGGAGTTTGAGGGAGAAGAAGTGAGACAGTTCGTTGTGTGTGTGTGTGTGTGTGTGTGTGTGTATAAGTTATTCTTGTGAAAGCAGTTCTCTAGAGCTGGAAAGTAGATTCCACTGAATCGCGGGTTGCTGCAGTGTGTAGTTGTGGTGATGCCGTCCTGCGGAACTCTTTGGAGACACAAATTCCCACTTGGGCTTCACAAAATTAAAGAAAGTCTGCTGAATTACTTTCAAAAACACACAAAAACTGTAAAAATACCTAATAAAAATATGCAAGCAGAGTAATAATTGAATCCAGACTGCAGACGTTAAACCGTTTTATTAACACCTGCGAGTACTTTCCTTGAGTATTTCAAGATGTGTGAAATTATATTTGCAGTCCAACAAACATCATCACAACGTGCGCAAACTGCATCTGTGCAGCGGTGAGTCCCATTAAAAACATGTATGAATAATCACAGCACTTTCTCCTATTGTCCTTTGTCATCTCTTCGACCTGCGAGCGTACCAGAGGCAGAAAAGGCCCCCGAGAAGCCGGGATTCCTTCCTCTGACTTCATGACCACATGGCCTCACAAGCGCACGGCGGCGCCTCCCAGTATAGATCTCAGCGAAAAGGTGAGAGTCCAGTCACCCGGGATTATTGCCAGCTCACTCGTGAAATTGCCGACCACGGGGCGGTGATGGAGCGAGAAGAGACGGTCGGAGAGCGGGAGGTGTTTTCTCTCTCACTTGACACACACACACACACACACACACACACACACTTGAGATCCAACAATGTGGAAGGAAAAAAAAAAAAAGAAAAAATCAGCCACGTCTTCCACAACTAAAAACTTTGTCACATGAAATATTGGTTTCCCTGTGAAGCCCTTCCATCTCCTCCAGGATTGTGTTTCTAACACCTGCATTAGGTTCTCTGTTTTCTTTTACCAGCAGTGCTGAATCATGCAAGAATTACAAGAGAGTTAAAAAAAAAAAAGCCCACATTTTCCTCTGTGCCACGCCTGAAGCAAATGTATTTTTTCCCATTTCGAGGTCGTATTAATGAGTAGCTGAGTGTTGGGAACTTAGATGGTGTGGACCACGACGCTGACTCCACCCTAAATAGGATTTTACAGCTTTCTGAACCTCAGAAGCTTGTATCGAGCTCCCACATTGCTGCGTGCTGTTGGATCTGAAAACCCTTTAGAACAGGCACATAAAACTCTTTGGCCCCTCAGAGTTTGGCTCTCTCTCCCCCGTTCTGCAATAACATGGCGGCGTATAAATCATTTAAATCCTATCCGTGTTTGTGCTGCATGGCCTCCGGCTTCTGAGTCCCACATCCAGGATGAAGTGCTTCCCCCGGAGTTTCCTCGCGCTGATGGCTGTGGTTGAGTTTAGTTACATCACGTGCTCAGTAAAGGTGGATTCTTAAGTGCAACTCTTTCCCTCTAAATTGGTTCTGACAGCTCTACTTTAGCTTTATAATAAAATGGGAAGTAAGGAGAAGGACGCATTAGTACAGAGGTTAAATACCACTCCAAAATACCCAAAAGGCTCTGATACATATATTTATAGGCGGCAGTCGTAGTTGTAGTGTATTTCACTCCAGTGTTGGAGAGCGTGTGTTTGTTCATGCACCCAAATTACACGTGAAATATTTCCTCATTTGGTGAATTCAAAATATCTTCATTTTGATGGCTCCACTTTTAATTTAAATACGTTTAATGAGCTTTTAAAAAAGGGTAAAAAATGTGAATTGTTATTGTTTTTCTTGAACCCCAAACATTGTATTTATATATATATATATATATATATATATATATATATATATATATATGTATCCTTTATATAAGGATCCTTCTAAACATTCAAGCATAAAAAACAATAGTGACATTCTATATGTACTTAACTGTAGATTACGATTTTAACAATTGAGAAAAATAAGAAGAAAAATACGTAAATATTGGGATTAAATATTAAGTATCAACGTGGTAATGTTTGCGTTTACTTTATAATAGAGCTTTTAATGCGTAGCAGGTTATGATGCATTAGTTGACACGTATATTTAATGGGTCAGTTCGTCAACATTTGCAATAAACACGGCCATTATCGTTCAGTCGAGACTCCTGATGAGATAAACCAGCTTTCCCGTATAGTTTATGACGCGCAAGTCGATCCAGATTAGGCCTGATTGGATCGCTGGTGCCATATGTGACCTACAATCTGTTCTCTTCATGCACTGTAGGGCGGCAGGGTCAGCGATTTCCCTGGGCAAAGGTTGCCATGGGAACGACCTCTGGATGCTCTGCTCTTTGCAGCGCTCGCACATCTCAGGGCGGAATTATCCGGGATTTCTTTATGTCAGGCCCGAAATTCTTCTGCTCTATTTCCTCACTCTGTGCTGTGCAGTTTCCTCTCCCTCTGCTTCCTCTCTCGTCACAAACACACCTACACACAGACACGCACACACACACACGCTGGGCCATTTGGATACTTGCATTTATGCCGACGCATCCGTGCCGACTGCATATTGGCCTGTTGTGTAATCAATTTGAAATACTTTATAATCAGATTCACAAAATTACATTCTTTTTTTATTTTGGCGAGTCGGCTCGGATGAACGTCATCTAAGGATCCTTGTTAAGCCTCCAGACTAATTCTGGTCGAAGAAATAATTTAGCCACGAGCTATTGGGATTGGAAAGTCGCCATGTCCGTTCACGCTGAAACTTCACGGCTGAACTCAACACGATCCGCCGGGAACATTTTAGCCTCTAGTTTTTAAGCTGCAGAATACAAACCGATTGCTTTTAACTTGAGAAGTACAGGGAGGTGTAGTTTAAGTTGATGATTTACTGCAGGTGTACTTCTTGCGCTGTAATATTGTTCATTAGGTTCAAATTGTAAGAGGTCCCTGCATATTACACCTCAGATAAGGAAGAAAAATAACAGGTCTGCAGATAAAATCTGAAAAAACTAAGTTGAGAGAGATCTTGTCGCAGAGTAATCTTTTTGCAGTGAACACAAAAGAAAATATAATTGGATCCCCCTGATGATTCCCAGTTCCTCTCCCTCTCCTTCCTTTCAGGGTTCAGGTCAAATACAAAGGAAATAAAATAAAGAGGTAATAATGCTCAGAGTTAAATGAACCATTCTTTACGTTTTCCAACAGCGAAAGCATTTAAATCTAGATCATTAAACAGCCGCGGGATTTTTATTAGGTCTTTATTGAACTGTGCGTGTGTGAAATACCTGTAAAGGCCAGTGCTTAAAATAATATACACAACCTGGCCCACAAAAATACTGATAGTACAGGTTAAATATTAATGCTGAAGCATCACCGAGACCAACTTTTGTGATAATCTCAATTGGAACACTACTCCGACAATTTTCATTATTTGTAATAAAAGATTGGGGTTAAAAACAAATAACTTCAGGCTCCTATAACCAATTTCCGTAAAGAAAAACAATAAAATGCATTGCCTCGAACTATACCGCTTTATAGACCACCACAATGCAGTTAACAACCGCATCGAAAGTTAGGAACGCAAAGGGCGGCAACTTGAGCCGGTCAATAAAATCTATTATGATTAAGGGAACCAAACTCACAACCACTATGTGTACTGCGACCGGGCGACCTCCGTCACACGAAAGGGCTTCACCTGCGCGTGGAGGCGGAGAACAGCTCCTCTTTCAGGAGTCAGCGGGCTTCGTGTCCCCAGAGGACGGAGGCAGGTCTCTGCAATGCGTTGGCACAATAAAGTTTATGGAAGGAATCGAGTGGCCGTCGTCGACCTTTTCTGCCCTCGGTGGAATATTTTATGTCCAAGGACAGAGGACGCATTCAGGGGGTCTGAGAGGAAAAACAAAGTTAGTCTAACCTCATGCATACTGACTATGTTTCAATTGTATTATCACTACGGAACTGATT